CTAATCAAAATAAGACTTCAAGGTGCCACGGCGACGTATGTCGCAGGTCCAGCAGTGAAACCCTCCTCCCAAAGAGTTGGCGTGGCGGATGTTCACTTTGATGGTGGAAATGCCTGCAGGCAGAAGAGGAGAAGGTTTCTTGAAGGCAATTCCCCCCCCTCCCTCCCCATGGAATTAATGAGAAGTCACACATAGGTATCCACTGCCAAAGCACTTGGCCGTCACGGCTGACTCGCTTACACACCCCTGCTCGCAACCAGACTAAAAGAAATAAGGAGGAGGGGAGGGAAAGTATTGGAATGTAAGGGAGCCGTCTGTAGCCTGGGACAATCCCAACAGCCCAAGGTCAAACACTGGGAAAACTCCCGAGGTACTCAGATCATTCCCCAAACAAAATGAATGCAATGGATTGGTGGACAATGAACAGTGGGGAGGTGTAGAGGGAAAAAGAGGATTTTACCTATGCTGGGTTTCGCGCAAAAACTTTAGAACTGGCTTTGCTACTTCTGTACCTGTGTGGGATTATCAGTAAAGTTATACTCTTAGTAAAATAATGTCCCAGGCGTTTATTTTGCTGCATTTACCAAAGGGACAGTTGACATAGGCTTTCTAGCTACGATGTTGCATCTAAGACTTTGTTGGGAGATTCTATGAAGGTCTCAAATCCCATGGCCCCAAAGTCTGTCCAATCAGGGAGGAGTCATAATCTTACATCCTCTTCTCTTTTCTTTTCTTTCTTTTTTTTTTTTTTGCAGGGCTGAGCAGAAAGATGAAGTGGTATCTCTTTGGGGAAGATCCACCTATCTCTAAAATATGAAGGACAACTAGCCTTCTCTTAACCTTGAAGAAAGATCATGGTGCAGGCAGAGGTCTTCAAGGTTAGGAGACCGGCCATATCTCCAGATCTCAAGGGGACTGAGCAGGTGTAAAGTTCAACATCTTGTGCCTTCAGCAGCTTTTGCTGGCTTGGTGGCCTTCAAAGATGTTGAACTTCCAAATCTCAGCTTGCACTTGGGATCTACAGGAGGTTCATACTTCCGGAGGACAGTTGGAGAAACGCTGAGTTGGAGGAATCTGGCTTCAATTCTCCTTAGGAAAATGTGTACTCTACACAAACTGAAAATAATTGTTCCATGAAATGTTGGCCCACCTACATAAATTGGTCTTACCGAGGCTTTCAAAGAGCTTCTGGATCGGGATTTCGTTGGCATCCACCATAACACGCTTCTCATCCAGCATCAGGACGTTCATGGAAAGCCATTTTGAAGACATCCACAGCGGATGGTCTAGAGATAAAAACATTTAGCATTCATGGATGTCTCACCGTGCAGCCATCGCAACAGAACATTTGCCTCCCAAGTCATTTATTTATTTATTTATTTATTTATTTATTTATTTGATTTGATTTGTATCCCGCCCTTCTCCTTACCGGACTCAGGGCGGCTGACAGCCTTATAAAACCAATATTACAGTAGATATCAATTTAAAACCAGATTAAAAGGAAATATTTGCAATGGCCTAATAATTAAAATTTCCCTTAAAAACCCCACTAAAATTCCCTAGGCCAATCCCGCTTGTTGGAAGAGCCATGTCTTTAGGGCGCGGCGGAAGGAGGGGAGATCCGGGATCACCCGGATCTCTGGGGGTAGTTCGTTCCAGAGGGTGGGGGCTCCCACCGAGAAGGCCCTCATGCCTTCCGTACGGGAACAAAGCCAAACCTACTGTCAGGGATGAGAGGAAGAGGTGGGTGACATATCGTCCAGCCTGCCTTCTTGAAGAGATCAATCTAAGAGAGTTGGGGAGAAAAACAGAAAGCTTCACGCTGGAAATCATATTGTTTTCTCTGCAGGTGCTCCAGCTGTGCGCTTCCATTAAGTCTGTTAATTTCTCCGTTATCGTTACATAAAAATGATGGATGAGTCATCTGTTTAATCTGCCCAGCTACCAAGAATAGGATCAAAATGGAAGACGGTTGTGTTCCAAAGCCAGTTTCAACCTTTGTATCTTGTTTGGCTCTAAGATCTTTTCTTTTCTTTTCTTCTTTTTTGCAGCAAAGTCTGGTTTTGAGTGTGCATGGGTGTGTAATGGAATGTGTGGATGACCTTGGGGAATGAGAGGAAGCCATGTTGCCTAGGAAACAGATAAGAGAGGCAGGAGCCCCCAGTGGCTTCATGATCAGAGGAAGAAGCTTGGGAGGGATCCACTCTAATGGATCAAGCAGTTCAGACTGGCAGTGGGAAGTGGTACTTTTGGATTTGCAAGAATTTGTTAATGTAGCCTTACAAGAAAGGAGAATCTGTTCATCTAGTCCCATTTTCTGTCTGGTTTACCTGGGAGAGGTGACAATGTGTTTTTAAATGTTCTTACATTCCTTTTCCATTCACATTCTAGCTTTCATCTATCCCAGGGGTCTTCCAACTTGGCCCTTTTCTGACTTGTGGACTTCAACTCCCAGAATTCAACTCCCCTGGGAGTTGAAGTCCACAAGTCATAAAAGGGCCAGGTTTGAAGACCCCTGATCTATCCTCTGTTGACACTTTTTTTAAAAGCTACAGCAAGAATGGGAAATTGTTGAAGTCCTCCGTCTTTTAATTATATTAATTAGAGATAAGCAGGCCGGAGAACAAAGATTGGATCTGCATAACACCGTAACCCACCAATCATGGCTAGCAAGCCCTACTATTCCCCCCAGAATACGTCCTACTATATTATGATTTCATGCAATGGAATAATTTCACATATTAGGCCAGGAAGATTTAAATAAAAAAAATGGCATAATGATGTAGCTTGCAAATTGTATTCCTATCGTTTGGTGGGAACACAGCGAAAGTTGTCCATCACAAGAAACAACACGCACCAACTTATTCCTCAGAATAAGTTGTCCATCACAAGAAACAACACGCACCAACTTATTCCTTCAGCATATTCTGGGAGTTGAAGTCCACAAGTGTTAAAGTGGCCAAGTTTGAGGACCCCTGGCCCAGAGTTCCCCATTCCTCTGTGAAGCCCCCTTACCTCATTACAAGGGCGATCTGGATTAGAAAGCACGACCCCAGGACCAATGATATTAAAAGTAGCATCGATGTGCATCGGGTTGGGGTCTTTGAAAGAAATAGTATGGACTCTGTACTCTGGAGCAAGATGTCTCCTCATCCACTCAATGCCCATGAAATTTGTAACCTGTGACAATGCAGAAAGGAAAGCAAAAATGTGTCTGCTTTATAGTGTAATACAAACTTAATCAAAACTCCCTTCATGATCAAACTGGATAGTTGGACTTTCCCAAAATTTGCAAGTTTCAGTCCTCTTACAGTGGTATTGCCAGTGATGTGCTCTGTTTCTTTCTTTCTTTCTTTCTTTTCTGGTTAACAGTGACTAGCCAAGATAAGCAACCTAGAACTAAGGAGAAATTTCCTGACAGTTAGAACAATTAACCAGTGGAACAACCTGCCTCCAGAAGCGGTGAATGCTCCAACATGGGAGTTTTTAAGAAGAGACTGGACAGCCATTTGTCTGAAATGGTATGGGGTTTCCTGCCTGAGCAGAGTTTGAACTAGATGACCTCCAAGGTCCCTTCCTACTACTACTACTACTACTACTACTACTACTACTACTACTACTCCTTCTCATTATTATTATTATTATTATTATTATTATTATTATTATTATTATTATTATTATTATTATTATTATTATTATTATTATTATTATTATTATTATTATGGATCATCGCACAGTCAGCCAGATGTTCAGACTGGATTTGGCATTTTGTCTACCTATCGAGTCCTTACCAAGGACCTGGGATAGGCAGATGTGGATGTTTGAATTGATGGTATTACAGATCTCGTCACAGGATGGAAGCTGTTCCTAGTAAGGCTGCCTTTTGCAATTGACTAATAGCGAATATGTCAATGCCAATGGTGTCCAAGTGGTGCTCCAGTGTTTTAGGATTGCACCCAAGGCGCCTATGACTATTGGTACTACACTTGCTTGCCTTTGCCACAGTATTTCTATTTCTATTTGTAGGTCTTTGTATTTTGTTATCTTCTCCAGTTCTTTCTCATCTATTCTGCTGTCTCCAGGCACTGCCACATTGTTGTTGTTGTTATTATTAGTATTAGTATTAGTATTAGTATTAAGGACTAGCACTGGAATAGGAGGCAATTCCAGTTTCCACACCTCTAAATACAACCTTTAAACCAAATTTAATCTAATTGTGCAGAGAGATGAAAAGGGATTTTGTGTAGTAGTTAAGGTGGTGACCTAGAAACCAGGAGACGTGAATTCCAGTTCCACCTTAGGCATGAAAACTGGCGGGGTGACTTGGGGCTGGCTCAGGAATTCTGGGAGTTGAAGTCCATGAGTCATAAAAGAGCCAAGGTTGCCTACCCCTGCACTAGACCTTATAGATATATAAGACTTAAGGAAAACGTGAGGGGAGATCTTAATATACTTACCTGACTTCTTTGGACAAAGATATCTCTTCCAGCTCTTATGAAGTCGGCAGCATCAAAACACGGCTCAAACTCAGTGGTGACGAATTTCCCCTGAGCAGCCAACTTGTGCCGATCCTCCACAGTGCGGATGGGGTAATCCTAATTTGAGACAGACATAGCACATAATCCCAGTGGAGGCAAAAAAAAAACCGTACAGCCTTAGGGGCTGCAACAGGGAAAGTGCAGTGCCCAGAAGAAGAAGAAAAAGGCACTTGTATGTAAACAGAGAGCAATCCCCATTCCCTCTAAGCACTGATGATGTTACGTAGCTGGGTAATGAAACGTCTGCAAGAAAACAACGAAGTTCAGAAAGTACCAAAGACCCCCAGTTATCGTCATCCTCTTCCTCCTTCTCCTCTTCCTCTTTCTCCTCCTCCTCCCCCTCTTCCTTCTCCTCCACTCCGCAAACCCCACTCCCTTCTAGCACTAATGACATTACCTAGTTGGGTAATGAAATGTTTCTAAAAAAAAAACCAAGTTCAGAAAACATCAAATATCCCACAGTTGTCCTCCTCCTCCTCCTCCTCCTCCTCCACTCTGCAAACCTCTCTCTCTTCTAGCACTAATATTACCTAGTTGGGTAATGAAGAGTCTGCAAAAAAACCACCAAGCTCAGAGAACACCAATGATCCCACAGTAGTCCTCCTCCTCCTCCTCCTCCTCCTCCTCCTCCTCCTCCTTTTCCTTCTCCTCCACTCCACAAACCCCACTCCCTTCTAGCCCTAATGTCTACGAGAAAAAAAACCAAATTCAGAAAGCATCAAATATCCCACTCCTCCTCCTCCATTCCCTTCCAGCACTGATGATATTACCTAGTTGGGTCATGAAACATCTGCAAGAAAACAACCAAGCTTAAGAGAGACCCACAGTTCAAACCTATTTTCTCCCATTTTGCAGAATCAGAAAATATTACCTGGTCGTAAAGTTCATCGGACATGGTGGGCTTCGGTGCTGTCGTCCATTTGGCTCCCTGGCGAAAATATTCTTTAATGACCGGGCGATACGCTCTATATTCAAAGAAACGGGCTCGCCAGGCCATCGGTGCTTCGATGATTTCGTTCCCAATTACAAGCAAAATGTCTCTCGGCATAGCTGCGTACATGCCTGCCAGGGAAGTCAACACACACATCCGCCTGTTATTCCATGCTATGGTTGGCATGGTTGTGTACATTAATGCATGCCGCTGATATACAAACACAGCCTTCAAGGTTTCTGGCACGGTTGCTTTTTTTATGACACAGACTAAATGAAAATAGAGCAAGGAGAACCGAAATCCCAACAGTTATTTTTTTTTCCAGTTATAAAAGAAAACGTGACAGTCAGCGACTCACGTACTGTGTGTGCTTCAGAAAAGAAAGTGCAACAATTTATACATTCACTCACACAGGTGTGTGCACTAAATTAATCTTAATTTAGCAGGTAAATTGGTCCTCCAAAAAAAATGTGAGAAGTCAGAGCTGTTTTCAGATCCCCTTATTGCCTTCCAATATTTCCATCCCTGTTTTCATCAACTCCAAAATAATTGTAACTGCACTGTAAAATGGTTTGTTTTGTTTTCCTTTATTTTAAAATTTAATGTTTTTTTAACTTGGCCTTCCTTTTCTCTTGCCTGTGCTGTTCTCTTAACACTCCTCCTTGTTAATATTTTTCCTTACCTGTTATATTTCCCTTCCTGTTTTCATTTTTTAAAAATAATGAGTTTTTAAATACAAGTAGTCCTAGGCTGTTGGATCATTTGAAGTTACAGTGGCACTGAAAAAAGTGACTTATGACCGTTTTCCACACTCATGGCCACTGCAGCATCTCCGTGGTCACATGATCAAAATTCAGACGCTTGGCAACTGGCATGTACTTACGGCGGTTGCAGCGTCCTGGGGTCATGTGACCACCTTTGGCAACTTCTGACAAGCTAAGTCAGTGAGGAAGCTAAATTCATTTAACAACCGTGCTACTGACTTAACTGCAGCGATCCACTTAACCGCCGATGCGAGAAAGGTAGTAAAATGGGGCAAAACTCACGTAACAAACGTCCCACTCGGCAACAGAAACGTTGGGCTCAACTGGGGTTATAAGTTGAGGACCATTGGTAGTGAAAATTGTGTTTCCTGAACATTATGAGTGGCTTTGAGGCCCAATATTTAAAATAATAAACCAGGCGCCTTTGTAATCAATAAGTAGGCAGATTACAGAAAACACACAGAGGTAAAGCACTAAACTTTGTTGAAAGCTATTCAGCAAAAGGTACCAGTAGATTCAAAATCGGGTGTTTTATATCGGGTTGACCAGTTCAGAACTTCAGGCCTCTTCACAGTCACTCCTTCCATCTTCAAAATATTGCACATTTCTTCAATCTCAGCGATTGCTTTCTTGATATAATCCTCAGGAAAACTCTGCCCTCCGTACTTCTGATAGAATTCCCAATACTTATCATAGGTATTAGCCTGGAGAATCAATAAAAAAGGAAAGAAAGAAAGGAAAAAAAACCAATTAACAGACAATTACGCAAACGATTTCCCCAATCGATGAACAAAAGAAGTTCATGAAACTGAAAGAAGAGAAGAATAACAGAGTCCCCTAACAAAGGGGAATTCTATATCACAGTCTGTCATGGTTTGTTGAGTAAATCACGGCTGGGTTCACAAACATTACACTGACACGCCCAAATTAGCACCATTGTGCCGAGAGCTTGCCCTCTGTATAAACTAGGTAAAAATTCAGATTCGTTTGAAGACCTAAACGTGAGAAGACAGAAGGAGAAAAACAAAATACCCAACTAGGTAACATCGTCAATGCTAGGCAGGAGTGGGGTTTGCCTTCTGGCACTGATGAAGTTACCTAGTTGGGTCATGAAACATCTACAAGAAAGCTACCAGACAAGGAATAATGGATGGAAATTGATCCAAGGGAGATTCAACCTAGAAGGAGAAATTTTCTGACAGTAAGAACAATCAACCAATGGAACAGATTGCCTTCAGAAGTTGTGGGAGTTTCATCACAATATGTTTAATAGTTAGCATGGCAGTACCACAATCACAACAAGGGCAATTCTTCCATCCTCACTGATACAGGGCAGGGACACATCTTCCAGTATCACACCTAATTCTGTTCAATTTCGTCCAGACAGAGCAATGCAGGAGAAAACCAGATGGTTTGGTAGAGAGATCGCTAATGGTCAGGCCACAAGAAGGTACCAAAAGATAACAAATAGACTTTAAACCAGAGTTATTTTTGTTAGGAGCTAATTATAGGAACTAATTATGAGAAAGATTCCAGATATCTAATACTACACATATTAACAGCAGCAAGAATTGTATTTGCCCAACATTGGAAAAATGAAAATTTACCAACTGGAGAAGTACTAATCAAGAAGATTCTAGAGTGTGCAGAAATGGATAGATTGACTTCAAAAATAAAAGAGAAAGAAGACTCGGTGTATTTTAGAACATGGGATAATTTTTATCAGTGGCTAGAAAAACGAGTCAGAGAGAAAGGAATGTGATATGTAATTTTGAATATATATTAGTAAGAATATCAGGCTTGTCAGATGCTATATTTTTTCTATCCTGCTCTATGGAGTAGAGAGTTGGTCTCTGACAGAAGGCCACCTGAAGAGACTAGAAGCATTTGAAATGTGGATTTACAGGCGGCTGTTACGTATAAGCTGGGTTGACAAGATCAGAAATGAGGAGGTGATAAGCCGCCTGGGAAAGCCAAGGGAAATCATCAAAANAAGAAGAAGAGGAGGAGGAAGAAGAAGAAGAAGAAGAAGAAGAAGAAGAAGAAGAAGAAGAAGAAGAAGAAGAAGAAGAAGAAGAAGAAGAAGAAGAAGAAGAAGAAGAAGAAGAAGAAGAAGAAGAAGAAGAAGAAGAAGAAGAAGAAGAAGAAGAAGAAGAAGAAGAAGAAGAAGAAGAAGAAGAAGAAGAAGAAGACTGCTCTATCTTAGCGTTTGGAGAAATAAAAAGCAGCCTCATCACATTCAAAGTTCCTTCAACTTCAGAGGGTAAAGACTCACCTTGACCTCAACTGTAAAAGGAGGAACACGGGCATTTTCGGCTCTCCCCACAATGACTTCTTCCAGTGGGTCCCACTCAGTGTAGGAGCAGACAGGACAATTTTCTGGGCTAGGATCAGGAACTTTGGAGGCTTCCGCAGCAGCAGCAGCACAAAGAGAATTGGAGGCTGCTGCGGTTTGGGTGCTCTGGAAAGTTCGCTGCACCCATCCTGTGACGACTCTTCCCAACTTGAATGTAAAAGCAAAAACCACAATCAGAAGGGGGAAATCACAGCGGTGGGGCTAGATGGTGCCTGTCCTGAGGTTTTGGGTTCTAGGGAAACAATGAAGTATTCAGGATCCAGAAGACCATCTTGAATTGTTGGGGTTTTTTTTCACTTTTACTTATAACCTAATCAAGATAAGGAGGGTTTTTCAACAATGAATATTTCTTTCAATCAAGTAGCATTTAAACTAAGGCATGCAATGTTTCTCAACTTCACCAACTTTTAGAGTTGATTTCAGCTCCCAGAATTCTCCAGCCAGCAGAGACATTGCCAATTCATTAAGAGAAGACTTGGGTTGGAAAAGATAGTTGTGGATTCTATATGGGATTAATTAATTCTGTGCATCCTATCCGACACAGTTTTCTCCTGCTGGTACTTATAAACAATATCCAGCTTTCATTCTAAGAGGGCTTCGTCCTGCTTTCTCACCCTACTTATCATTAACATAAAAGAAAGCTTCTTGCATCTCACCACACTAAGCTATAACATGGGTTAGATTACTGTGTTGGGTTTTACATGGGGCTGCCCTTGAATACTTAGAACAGGGGTGTCAAACTGCCGGCCTGCAGGCCAGATGCGTCATGGCAAAACTGCGCCCACCCCATTGCCGGCAATGGAAAAAAAGTTGCGATACGCCACAACACGTCACGTGACGTTGCGTGTTTGCAGACAATAGACTTGGTTTGCTAATTTTTATGCTTATTTCCTTTGGAAACTAGTCAGACAAGAGAAATTAGGACAACTGAGACCTGCAGTAATAAGCAAGGAAATGTTCATGCATGTTTTGAGCCCACCTGTTATTAATCAAATTTATATAGCTGTCAATCTCACCAAGGGCAGCGCACAAACATGATACTTTGTGAATCACGGTTTATGCTCCGTGTGCCACACATACCCATCCTTTAGCAGTATATTTATGCAACTTTACTGAAACAAACCCTAGCCTAGCACAGTCTGGGAACTAGGTCACAAAGAACGGTGTTCAGTTAGGAAGCCCAAGTCGGGATGTCAATGGCTTCCCTTCAAATGTTCCAGTGTTACACGAAGAGAAGATTCAGCTTTCAGTTAAGTTCTTCTACTCCACCCTTCGCAAAAGAGGCTGCACTTGTTCTCCACCAGCTGTTGGGAAAACCTAGACCGCCAGGTTGCCTAGGAGCATGTATGCCATATCTTCTTGCAGTGTACATGATCAGCATTCCCAGCCCAAAACGGGAGGACAGGCATGTGTGCTGGGTCAGCAGAAGGTTGGACAGAGAGGAAGAGCTCCCCCCCCGCCCCCGCTCAAAGAAGGCATGTTGGAGCAGGAAAAGGGAAGTCTCAAAAGTTCTCAAGCTCCATCTCAGGCAGGTTAGGCCTGACTTGAAGGCAAGGGACAGCTAGATCTACAGCCATCCAGAGTGGGACTGAAACATCAGGGCAAGGAGAGAAACCATCTTAACAGGTCCAGGGCAAACCACACTGATGAAAAAAATGGTAAAAAAGATGTTGAGGCTCTAGAAAGAGGGCAGAGAAGAGCAACAAAGATGATTAGGGGACTGGAGGCTAAAACGTATAAGGAACGGTTGATGGAATTGGGTATGTCCAGTTTAATGAAGAGAAGGACGAGGGGGGACATGATAGCAGTGTTCCAATATCTCAGGGGCTGCCCCAAAGAAGAGGGAGTCAAGCTATTTTCCAAAGCACCTGAAGGCAGGACAAGAAGCAACGGGTGGAAACTAATCAAGGAGAGAAACAACCTAGAACTAAGGAGAAACTTCCTGACAGTTAGAACAATTAACCAGTGGAACAACCTGCCTCCAGAAGCGGTGAATGCTCCAACACTGGAAGTTTTTAAGAAGAAACTGGACAGCCATTTGTCCGAAATGGTATAGGGTTTCCTGCCTGAGCAGGGGGTTGGACTAGATGACCTCCAAGGTCCCTTCCAACTTTATNGTCTCTGACAGAAGGCCACCTGAAGAGACTAGAAGCATTTGAAATGTGGATTTACAGGCGGCTGTTACGTATAAGCTGGGTTGACAAGATCAGAAATGAGGAGGTGATAAGCCGCCTGGGAAAGCCAAGGGAAATCATCAAAACAATTAAAAAACAAAAATTAGAATATTTCAGACATGTGATGCGACACCCAGAAAAACACGGCATACTCCATTTAATCCTCCAGAGAAAGACTGAAGGCAAACAAGGTCCAGGCAGAAGAAGAACATCGTGGCTTCAAAATCTAAGGGACTTTTTCGTGCGGCTGCTGATAAAAACAGGATCGCCAACAAGATCGCCAACGTCCGATAACGGATGTGGCACAAGAAGAAGAAGAAGGCTATTGAGTGATGAATTAACATATTGTTTATGATAATTAACTAGATCTATTATTGTTAGTTAAATACATATACCCAGACATTATGCTGTTTGCTAAATATCAAAAATGTTATTTGGAAAAATTCCAACCCTAACCAAAATCCCAACCCTAATCCTGACCCCACCTTATCCCTAACCCTATAAAAACTAATAACATCTATACAAAAAAAAGATACCAAAAGGTGCACAGCAGTGGCCTTTCCTAGAAACTGCTACAACTGGTAGTTATAAAGACTAGAGAACACACCGTTCCTGCTCCTGAAGACACCTCCCTCAGGTCTCAACTCCATGCCCCAATTGTTGTTGACAACTCAGGCTGTAAGGTTTGTGGACACCTAGGAGGTCTTCAGCAGCTGGAATTACTGCAGTAGCCCTTTCAATCACATGTATGGTTCAAAGGCCAGGACAATTGCAGCGACAATTGATAGTCCTAAAGTTTCCACGATAAGAGGGTGTCATGCGGACTGGACCCAAACAGCCAGCTCAGCAACTTTCAAGTTGTGTTTTCGTTTGTTTGTTTTTGGCTATTCTACAAGTCATCTGAGACCATAGCTGCATCCAGCAGGGTCTAGGTTGGCCATGTGAGCAAATATGATGACTTCAGCTTCCACAATCCATGCCCTCGGTGGACTTGGATCCATGAAAGGTCAGGCAATCATCACTCGGTTGTTTTAAAGCACCATAATTGCTTTTGCTGCAAAAAATGAATATGATTAGCAGTCTGGAAACTTTTATAACGTCAGAGTCTAAAACTTCTCTTATCTTCTATCTTATGAATAACTCGAGGGCAGAAAGACCCAGTTTTCCTTCCTTCTTCTGAACCTGAGAGCAGGACAAGAAGCAACGGGTGGAAGATCATGAACGAGAGTTCCAACCTAGAACTAAGGAGAAATTTTCTGACAGTGAGAACAATTCATCAGTGGAACGGCTTGCCTCCAGAAGTTGTGGGTGCTCCAACACTGGAGGTTTTTAAGAGGAGACTGGACAGCCATTTGTCCAGAATTCTATGGAGATTCTCAGTCATTCAGGTCATGGTTGTCCCACAGGTGCTTTTTGGCACCTTTCTTTGTTTTTTCCTTGAAAACGTTTCACTTCTCATCCAAGAAGCTTCTTCAGTTCTGAAGAAGTAAAGAACTGAAGAAGCTTCTTGGATGAGAAGCAAAAGCTCTTCAAGGACAAAGAGAGTCCAGTTGCCTCTTGAAAAAGTACCTTTGGGATTTTTCCAGAATGGTATAGGGTCTCCTACTTGAGGTGGGAGTTGGACTAGGAGACCTTCACAAAGAGGAGAGAGTAATGTGGACC